CACCCCACCCCCTCCGTCTCCTCCAACAGGATGAAGAACCCTTCAACCCCGACTACGTCGAGGTGGACCGCATCTTGGACGAGTCCCACAGCGTGGACAAAGACAACGGGGAGGTTCGGACGTGGCCGGGGCGGGAACGGGGGGCGGCGGTGGACTTCCGTCCTCCAAAAAAAATGAGGTCCTCCATCACCGATGTCCTCTCTTTGTCCCACCCCACCTCTGGTTGCAGCCGGTGGTCTACTACCTGGTGAAGTGGTGCTCCTTACCCTACGAGGACAGCACTTGGGAGCTGAAGGAGGACGTCGACGAAGGGAAGATTGGCGAATTTAAGCGCATCCAATCCCGCCACCCCGAGCTCAAGCGCTTGGTGAGCTTCTAGATCTTCTCCCGCCTCCTCCAGATGTCCTCCTCCGGGTCTTCTCCATCTCCTCTTTCTTCTCCTCCAGCCCCGTCCTCAAGCTGGTTCCTGGAAGAAGCTGGAGCTCTCCCACGAGTACAAAAACCACAATCAGCTTCGGGAGTACCAACTGGAAGGGGTCAACTGGTTGCTCTTCAACTGGTACAACAGGTGAGCGGTGGACGGAGATGGGGACGGGGGGGAGGCCGTGGCCGCCGCCTCCACCAACCCATCCTCCTCCTCCTCCTCCTCCTCCTCCTCCTCCTCCCCGCAGGCAGAACTGCATCTTGGCCGACGAGATGGGGTTGGGCAAGACCATCCAATCCATCGCTTTCTTACAAGAGGTCTACAACGTGGGGATTCGGGGACCTTTTTTGGTCATCGCTCCCCTCTCCACCATCACCAACTGGGAACGGGAGTTCAACACTTGGACGGAGATGAACAGCATCGTCTACCACGGCAGTTTGGCCTCGCGGCAGATGATCCAACAGTACGAGATGTACTGCAAAGACTCGCGGGTAAAGCGGCGGCTTCTTTTTTTGCTTTTCGGTGGGAGGATCTTCTCCAACCGGGAGGTGGGACGTTCTCAAGAACCTCCCGAATCCGCCGAGGTTGGAACCTCCTTCGTCTCATCTCCTCTCGTTCCTCCAGGGTCGTCTCATTCCCGGCGCCTACAAATTTGACGCCCTCATCACCACCTTCGAGATGATCCTCTCCGACTGTCCCGAGCTCCGGGAGATCGAGTGGCGTTGCGTCATCATCGACGAAGCCCACCGCCTCAAGAACCGCAACTGCAAACTCCTCGACAGCCTCAAGCACATGGACCTGGTGAGACGGAGGGGTGGGGTTGGAGAAAGGAGGGGACGGGGACATCCCATCTCCTCTCCGTGGGGTTCCCTGAAGGTGTCTGTGGGGTTTTGGTGGCATCTGGAGATGTTTGGGCACGTCCCACAGCCCAGGGGATGGTCCTGAAGGTGCATGTGTGGGTCTTGGTGGCATCTGGAGATGTTTGAGAATGTCCCACACTCCAAGAGATGGTCCTGAAGGTGTGTGTGTGTGATCTTGGTGGCATCTGGAGATGTTTGAGAATGTCCCACACTCCAAGAGATGGTCCTGAAGGTGTGTGTGTGTGATCTTGGTGGCATCTGGAGATGTTTGAGAATGTCCCACACTCCAAGAGATGGTCCTGAAGGTGTGTGTGTGTGATCTTGGTGGCATCTGGAGATGTTTGAGAATGTCCCACACTCCAAGAGATGGTCCTGAAGGTGTGTGTGTGTGATCTTGGTGGCATCTGGAGATGTTTGAGAATGTCCCACACTCCAAGAGATGGTCCTGAAGGTGTGTGTGTGTGATCTTGGTGGCATCTGGAGATGTTTGAGAATGTCCCACACTCCAAGAGATGGTCCTGAAGGTGTGTGTGTGTGATCTTGGTGGCATCTGGAGATGTTTGAGAATGTCCCACACTCCAAGAGATGGTCCTGAAGGTGTGTGTGTGTGATCTTGGTGGCATCTGGAGATGTTTGAGAATGTCCCACACTCCAAGAGATGGTCCTGAAGGTGTGTGTGTGTGATCTTGGTGGCATCTGGAGATGTTTGAGAATGTCCCACACTCCAAGAGATGGTCCTGAAGGTGTGTGTGTGTGATCTTGGTGGCATCTGGAGATGTTTGAGAATGTCCCACACTCCAAGAGATGGTCCTGAAGGTGTGTGTGTGTGATCTTGGTGGCATCTGGAGATGTTTGAGAATGTCCCACACTCCAAGAGATGGTCCTGAAGGTGTGTGTGTGTGATCTTGGTGGCATCTGGAGATGTTTGAGAATGTCCCACACTCCAAGAGATGGTCCTGAAGGTGTGTGTGTGTGATCTTGGTGGCATCTGGAGATGTTTGAGAATGTCCCACACTCCAAGAGATGGTCCTGAAGGTGTGTGTGTGTGATCTTGGTGGCATCTGGAGATGTTTGAGAATGTCCCACACTCCAAGAGATGGTCCTGAAGGTGTGTGTGTGTGATCTTGGTGGCATCTGGAGATGTTTGAGAATGTCCCACACTCCAAGAGATGGTCCTGAAGGTGTGTGTGTGTGATCTTGGTGGCATCTGGAGATGTTTGAGAATGTCCCACACTCCAAGAGATGGTCCTGAAGGTGTGTGTGTGTGATCTTGGTGGCATCTGGAGATGTTTGAGAATGTCCCACACTCCAAGAGATGGTCCTGAAGGTGTGTGTGTGTGATCTTGGTGGCATCTGGAGATGTTTGGGCACGTCCCACACCCCAAGGGATTGTCCTGAAGGTGCATGAGTGGGTCTTGGTGGCATCTGGAGATGTTTGGGCACATCCCACCTCGAGCTGTAACCTTCTGCACCCTCTCGGTCATCAGGAACACAAAGTCCTCTTGACGGGTACTCCACTCCAAAACACGGTGGAAGAGCTCTTCAGTCTTCTGCACTTCTTAGAGCCCTCCCAGTTCCCTTCCGAGGCCGAGTTCCTCAAGGACTTCGGAGACCTCAAGACGGAGGAGCAGGTGAGGAGAACGAGGACACCCCAGACCCGTCCTTGACCACTGAGGTCCCACCCGGCCCCTGGTGACCTCTCCCCTCTGGTCCCACCTCCAGGTGCAGAAGCTCCAGGCCATCCTCAAGCCCATGATGCTGCGTCGGTTGAAGGAAGACGTGGAGAAGAACTTGGCGCCCAAACAAGAGACCATCATCGAGGTGGAGTTGACCAACATTCAGAAGAAGTATTACCGCGCCATCTTGGAGAAGAACTTCTCCTTCCTCTCCAAAGGCGCCGGTCACACCAACATGCCCAACCTTCTCAACACCATGATGGAGCTACGCAAGTGCTGCAACCACCCCTACCTCATCAACGGTGAGGAACCAAAGGGGGGCCCAAGACCTGGTGGGTTGTCCCGTGTCCTCCCGCCACCGGTGGACAACCTCGGAGGTCAACGCCACCCCGTCCCTTCTTCTCCCGGTCTTCTTTCTTTGCCGGGGGCTCGGTGGCCTCTTGGCTTTTGGACTTGGCCTTCCCCAACCTCTGTAGGACCGCCCGGTGGCCTCAACGTGGCGGTGGAGGAGGTCCACCGGCTCATCCGCTGGGGCTTCGATGTTCTTCAAGCTTTGCTTTGGTGGGGTGTCTCCTGAGGAGATCTCGGTCGTCACCCCGCTGACGGTCTTTTGTCTCCGCCCACCTCCAGGAGCCGAGGAGAAGATCTTGGCCGAATTTCGGGAATCGTGCCACCACCACGTCCCTCACGACTTCCACCTCCAGGCCATGGTCCGCTCGGCCGGCAAACTGGTCCTCATCGACAAACTCTTGCCCAAACTCAAAGCCGGCGGCCACAAGGTGCTCATCTTCTCCCAGATGGTGCGATGCCTCGACATTTTGGAGGACTACCTCATCCAGAAGAGGTGAGAAACGAGCTCGGACGGGGCGGGAGGGGTCATCTCGTGGTGGCCGCCGGCGTCATCGTCTCGGTGACGCCGGTTTGGGCGATTTCGGTAGGTACCTCTACGAACGCATCGATGGAAGGGTACGGGGCAACCTCCGTCAAGCCGCCATCGACCGCTTCAGCAAACCCGACTCGGATCGGTTCGTCTTCCTCCTTTGCACCCGCGCCGGTGGCCTCGGCATCAACTTGACGGCCGCCGACACCTGCATCATCTTCGATTCCGATTGGAACCCCCAAAACGACCTCCAGGTGATCCGTCGGGTCTTCCCCCACCGCCCTGAGCTTGACCTCGGGTGGGTTTCGAGATGACCTGACCCACCACGGTCTTGCTTCCGGCAGGCTCAAGCGAGGTGTCACCGCATCGGGCAGAGCAAAGCGGTGAAGGTCTATCGGCTCATCACGCGCAACTCCTACGAGAGGGAGATGTTCGATAAAGCCAGTCTCAAGTTGGGTTTGGACAAGGCGGTGTTGCAGTCCATGAGCGGCCGGGAGGGCAACATCGCGGGGGTAAGAGGTCTTCTGGGGGATAAAGGGGGGCGGGAAGATCTCGGGGATGGGGGTCTATCAAGAGAAACGGGGTTGAGGACCACCAGGATGGAGATCTACCAAGGGAAATGGGGTTGAGGACCACCAGGATGGGGATCTACCAAGGGAAACGGGGTTGAGGAGCACCAGGATGGGGTTCTACCAAGGGAAACGGGGTTGAGGACCACCAGGATGGGGTTCTACCAAGGGAAATGGGGTTGAGGACCACCAGGATGGGGTTCTACCAAGGGAAATGGGGTTGAGGAGCACCAGGATGGAGATCTACCAAGGGAAACGGGGTTGAGGACCACCAGGATGGAGATCTACCAAGGGAAACGGGGTGTGGAGACCACCAGGATGGGGATCTACCAAGGGAAACGGGGTTGAGGACCACCAGGATGGAGATCTACCAAGGGAAACGGGGTTTGGAGACCCCAGGGTTGAGGTTCCCCAAGAGAAATGTGGTGTGAAGACCCCAGGGTTGAGGTTCTCCAAGAGAACCGTGGTGTGAAGACCTCAGGGTTGAGGTTCTCCAAGGGAACCATGGTGTGAAGACCTCACGGTTGAGGTTCTCCAAGAGAACCGTGGTTTGAAGACCTCAGGATTGAGGTTCTCCAAGGGAACCGTGGTCTGAAGACCTCAGGGTTGAGGTTCTCCAAGAGAACCGTGGTGCGAAGACCCAAATCTTGAAGGACCCCGGGGGTTTTGGGGTGGGACCAGGAGCTCCGTGGGGTCGTCTCCCTCCCTTACCCATCCCGCTTGTCCATCTTCTGGATAGATCCAACAGTTCTCCAAAAAGGAGATCGAGGACCTGTTGCGCAAAGGGGCCTACGCCGCCATCATGGAAGAAGACGACGAAGGTTCCAAGTTCTGCGAGGAGGACATCGACCAGATCCTCCTACGCCGGACCACCACCATCACCATCGAGAGCGAAGGCAAAGGCTCCACCTTCGCTAAGGTATCTCCACCTGCTTTTCCCACCGCCGAGGAGGTGGTGGTGGTGGTGGACCATCTCCCACCTCGGCGGTGTCCTTGAACATCTCCACCGACTTCAGGCGAGCTTCGTGGCTTCGGAAAACCGCACCGACATCGCTTTGGACGATCCCAACTTCTGGCAGAAGTGGGCCAAGAAAGCCGACCTGGACTTGGACCTTCTCAACAGCAAGGTTGGAGAAGAAGACCCAACGGGGTGGGAGGGAGAGAAGGTGGAGACGGGGCGGGCTTTGCTGATGGGTCTTCTCCAATCCCGGTGGCCAGAACAACCTGGTGATAGACACGCCGCGGGTACGCAAGCAGACGCGTCACTTCAGCACTCTTCGAGACGATGACCTGGTGGAGTTCTCCGACCTGGAGAGCGAAGATGAGGAGAGACCACGGTCCCGACGTCACGACCGTCACCACCACGCTCTCCACCACGCCTACGGACGCACCGACTGCTTCCGGGTGGAGAAACATCTCCTGGTCTACGGGTGAGGACGGCTCGGGGGTCACCTCGGCCGCGGTGGCGACCACGGGGAGGTTCTGGGTGGAGAAAGGAGGTCAGGTCTAGATCTAGGTGGGGTTTGGTGGCAACCATGAGGTTCTGGGTGGAGGAAGGAGGTCAGGTCCAGCTCTAGGTGGGTTTTGGTGGCAACCACGAGGTTCTGGGTGGAGAAAGGAGGTCAGGTCTAGATCTAGGTGTGCTTTGGTGGCAACCACGAGGTTCTGGGTGGAGAGAGGAGGTCAGGTCCAGCTCTAGGTGGGTTTTGGTGGCAACCACGAGGTTCTGGGTGAAGAAAGGAGGTCAGGTCTAGATCTAGATGGGTTTTGGTGGCAACCACGAGGTTCTGGGTGGAGGGAGGAGGTCAGGTCCAGCTCTAGGTGGGTTTTGGTGGCAACCACAAGCTTGGAGGAGAGTGGAGAAACTCCAGGTGTGCTTTGGTGGCAACCACGAGGTTCTGGGTGGAGGGAGGAGGTCAGGTCCAGCTCTAGGTGGGTTTTGGTGGCAACCACGAGGTTCTGGGTGGAGGGAGGAGGTCAGGTCCAGCTCTAGGTGGGTTTTGGTGGCAACCACGAGGTTCTGGGCGGAGGGAGGAGGTCAGGTCCAGCTCTAGGTGGGTTTTGGTGGCAACCACGAGGTTCTGGGTGGAGAAAGGAGGTCAGGTCTAGATCTAGGTGGGCTTTGGTGGCAACCACGAGCTTGGAGAAGGGGAGACAAGTTCCAGGTGTGCTTCGGTGGCCACCACGAGGAGGTTCTGGGTGGAGGGAGGAGGTCAGATCCAGCTCCAGGTGGGTTTTGGTGGCCACCACGAGGTTGGAGGAGGTCAGGTCCAAGTTTAGGTGCGTTTTGGTGGCAACCACAAGGAACTTCTGGGTGGAGAGAGCAGGACCGAGCCCAAATCCACCTCCTCTCCGCTGGCCACCGCGAGGAGATGTCCAGTGGAGATCTGAACTCCGGGAGGTGGAGAAACCCCAAACGTGGACCTCCCTGACCGCTGTCCCCGCCCGTGTCTTCTCCTTCTCCCCACCCCAAAGGTGGGGCCGTTGGCGGGAGATCTTGTCCCACGGGAGGTTCAAACGTCGTCTCTCGGAACGGGACGTGGAGACCATCTGCCGGACCATCTTGGTCTACTGTCTTCTCCACTACCGCGGAGACGAGAACATCAAGAGCTTCATCTGGGACCTCATCAGCCCCACCGAAAACGGCAAAGCCAAGGAGCTCCAAAACCATTCGGGTGAGACGGTGGGGACGTTTTTTTTTGGGGGGGGGACGACGGGTGGACCTCTCGAGGTCCCGCCTTGACCACCTTCTCCACCCGGTTATCTCCAGGACTTTCCATCCCGGTTCCTCGAGGTCGAAAAGGGAAGAAGGTGAAATCTCAAAGTACTTTTGATGTCCACAAAGCGGAGTGGATTCGGAAGTACAACCCGGACACCCTCTTCCAAGACGAGAGTTACAAGAAACATCTCAAACATCAGTGCAACAAGTGGGTGGAGATCTTCTGGGTGGTCTTCAAGATGACCCCACCCCATCCCGTCTCCGGTTGAGGGGGTTTTTTTTGGTGGTTGACCGTCATCTCCGCCATCTTCCAGGGTTCTGCTGAGGGTTCGGATGCTCTACTACCTCCGGCAGGAGGTGATCGGGGACCAAGCCGAGAAGGTGTTGGCGGGGGCGGTGGCCAGGTGAGTCCACAGAACCTTCCTGCAGGTTCTCCACAAACTCCTTGGGGTGCTCCAGCCCCACCATGAGGTATTGAGGTTCTCCAGCCCCACCACGAGGTGGTTTGAGGTTCCTCAGAACCTCTTTGGGGTTCTTCAGCCCCACCACGAGGTGGTTTGAGGTTCTTCAGCCCCACCACGAGGTGGTTTGAGGTTCTCCAGAACCTCTTTGGGGTTCTTCAGCCCCACCACGAGGTGGTTTGAGGTTCTCCAGAACCTCTTTGGGGTTCTCCAGCCCCACCACGAGGTGGTTTGAGGTTCTCCAGAACCTCTTTGAGGTTCTCCAGCCACACTACGAGGTATTGAGGTTCTCCAGAACCTCTTTGGGGTTCTTCAGCCCCACCGTTAAGTGGTCTGAGGTCCTCCTGCCCCACTTTGAGGTCCTCCAGCCCAACTTTGAGGTCCTCCTGCCCCACTTTGAGGTCCTCCTTGCCCTCCTGCCCCACTTCGGCCTACCCTGGACCTCCCCCCACCCCTTCATTTCTCCTCCCCACCAGCGAGATCGACATCTGGTTCCCTCTGGTGGAGCAACTGGAGGTGCCGACCTCTTGGTGGGACTCCGAAGCCGACAAATCCCTCCTCATCGGCGTCTTCAAACACGGTACTTTGCCGGGAGGTGGACGGCCCTGATTTTGGGGGAAAATCCGGCAGAATTGGGGTCGTGATTTGGGGTTTTTTTGGTTTGTTTGGTTGGTTTTTTTTTTTGGGGGGGGACGGGACACGCAGGTTACGAGAAGTACAACACCATGCGCGCCGACCCCGCCCTCTGCTTCTTGGAGAAGGCCGGGCGCCCCGACGAGAAGGCCATCGCCGCCGAGCAGCGCCTGGACGTCGGCGAAGGGTGAGCTTTGGTCCTGAGACCTCTCGGAGGTCTCCTGAGATCTTTTTTGGGGGTTCTGAGTCCTCCTTGAGGTCTCCTGAGAACTTTTTTGGGGTTCTGAGACCTTTTTTGGGGTCCTGAGATCTCTTGGAGGTCTCCTGAGATCTTTTTTGGGGGTTCTGAGTCCTCCTTGAGGTCTCCTGAGAACTTTTTTGGGGTTCTGAGACCTTTTTTGGGGTCCTGAGATCTCTTGGAGGTCTCCTGAGATCTTTTTTGGGGGTTCTGAGTCCTCCTTGAGGTCTCCTGAGAACTTTTTTGGGGTTCTGAGACCTTTTTTGGGGTCCTGAGACCTTTTTTGAGGTCTCCTGAGATCTTTTTTGGGGGTTCTGAGTCCTCCTTGAGGTCTCCTGAGAACTTTTTTGGGGTTCTGAGACCTTTTTTGGGGTCCTGAGACCTTTTTTGAGGTCTCCTGAGATCTTTTTTGGGGGTTCTGAGTCCTCCTTGAGGTCTCCTGAGAACTTTTTTGGGGTTCTGAGACCTTTTTTGGGGTCCTGAGACCTTTTTTGAGGTCTCCTGAGATCTTTTTTGGGGTCCTGAGACCTTTTTTGAGGTCTCCTGAGATCTTTGTTGGGGTCCTGAGACCTTTTTTGGGGTCCTGAGATCTCTTTGAGGTCTCCTGAGATCTTTTTGGGGGAGTCCTGACACCTTTTTGGGGATCCTGAGACCTTTTTTGGGTTCCTGAGACCTCTTTGAGGTCTCCTGAGACCTTTTTTGGGGTCCTGAGACCTTTTTTGAGGTCTCCTGAGATCTTTTTTGGGGGTTCTGAGTCCTCCTTGAGGTCTCCTTAGATCTTTTTTGGGGTTCTGAGACATATTTTGGGTTCCTGAGACCTCTCGGAGGTCTCCTGAGATCTTTTTTGGGGGTTCTGAGTCCTCCTTGAGGTCTCCTGAGACCTTTTTGGGAGGTTTCGGGTTGTCCCGAGCCCATTTTTTGGGATGTCTCCCCCCTCAAAATTTTTTGGGGTACCGCTGATGACCACGCCATGCTAATACCGACCGGCTCCGGGCCGGGTTGAGTTCAATCTGACGGGCTGAGGTCCCCCCAAAAAATGGAGGGGGTGGGGTGGTTTTTTGGGGGGATTTGGGGGGATTTTGGTGTTGGTTTTTTTTTCGGGGGGTGGGTCCTCATTTTTGGGGTGTCCTCCCCCTCTCCCAGTGTGGATTTCGAGAAGGACTGCGAAGACCCCGAATATAAACCTCTGGTGGGGACGGCCAAAGAGATGGACGAGGAGGTGAGGACACTCCACCGTTCCCCACCCCACCCCAAAATCTGCCCCATATGCCCCCCTCCATACGTCCCCCTCCCCATATATGTCACCCCCCAAATTTGGGGGGACGTGGGGGTGACCCTGATGTCCCCTTTCCCCCCCCCCAGGCCGACCCCTTGATGCTGCTGGATGAGGAGATCTCGGTGGTGGACGGGGATGAAGGTAAGTTTTGGGGGGACATCTCCCCTATGGGGACATCCCCTCCCCCCTCCTCTATAGGGTGGTTCTGCCCCACATCGCTGTGGGACCTCGAGGAGACCCATAGGGATCTCGAGGAGACCCATAGGGACCTCAAGGAGATCTATAGGGCACCGAGGAGGTCCATAGGGACCTCCAGGAGATCTGTAGGGACCTCAAGGAGATCTATAGGGCACCGAGGAGACCCATAGGGACCTCCAGGAGATCTATAGGGCACCGAGGAGACCCATAGGGACCTCCAGGAGATCTATAGGGCACCGAGGAGGTCCATAGGGACCACAAGGAGACTCCCAGGAACCCTAAGGAGATCCATAGGACCCCAAGAAGACCCACAGAAACCCCTAGGAGATCCATAGGACCCCAAGAAGACCCACAGAAACCCCTAGGAGATCCATAAGGACCTCCAGGAGACCCATAGCGACCTCAAACAGGTCCGTAGGACCTCCCAATTGACCTTCTCCTCTTCTTCTCCTCCTCCCAGGTCAACCTCCTCAACCGGGACAACCCTTCTGGCCGGCGGGTTCGGTGCTGACGGCGCGGCTGCGCCGCCTCATCGCCGCCTGTCAACGGTCCTACCAACGGGAGCAGCTCCGGGGGGAAGGGACCGACCGGGGGGACCGTCGGCGGCGCCGTGGCGGGGCCACCGGGAGGATCTACGGGGGGTTTTGGTGGGGCTTGGAGACCATGGATGGAGGTTTTGGGGTACCAGGAGGATCTACGGGGGGTTTTGGTGGGGCTTGGAGACCATGGATGGAGGTTTTGGGGTACCAGGAGGATCTACGGGGGGTTTTGGTGGGGCTTGGAGACCATGGATGGAGGTTTTGGGGTACCAGGAGGATCTACGGGGGGTTTTGGTGGGGCTTGGAGACCATGGATGGAGGTTTTGAGGTCCCTGGAGCATCTACAGGGGGTTTTGGTGGGACTTGGAGACCATGGATGGAGGTTTTGGGGTACCAGGAGCATCTACGGGGGGTTTTGGTGGGACTTGGAGACCACGGATGGAGGTTTGGTGGGGCTTGGAGGCCATGGATGGAGGTTTTGGGGTGCCGGGAGCATGGTGGGACTCCGTAACTGATGTTTTTGGGGTGTAGGAACCCCATCCATGGTCTTTTTGAGCCGCAGGAACCCCCTTGCCCAGGATTTTAGGCTCTGAGGACCTCACGGAGGACATCTTGGGGTGTAGGACCTCCATCCTTGGGTCTTTTGGGCTGAAGAAGACCTCTTTGGGGTTGTGGGTTGTTTTTTTTTGGGGGGGGGGACATTGCAGGTGGACCCGTCGGGAGCAAGCGGATTTCTACCGGGTGGCCTCCAGTTTTGGGGTGGAGTTTGACCCCGAAGTGGGTCGTTTCCGGTGGGGTCGTTTCCGTACCTTGGCCAGATTGGAGAAGAAGACGGACGAGAACCTCACCAAGTTCTTCCACGGCTTCGTCGCCATGTGCCGGCAGGTTTGCCGTCTCCCACCGGCTCCTGGAGATGGTACGGTGGGGTTGGGGACCTTCTCCGTGGGGTTGGGGACCTTCTCCGTGGGGTTGGGGATCTTCTCCGTGGGGTTGGGGACATCCCTGTGGAGATATGGGGTTCCTCAAGGTGACACTGGGGTTGGTGGACGTCTCTGTGGGGTGGTGGACATCTGTGTGGGGTGGTGGACATCTCCGTGGGGATTGGGGCTTCCTGGTGGCTTGAGGACATCTTCATGGGGAGATGGAACTCAGTGGTGACCACCTCAAGGGTGACGGTGACCACCCCAACGATGGTGGTGACCACCTCAAGGGTGATGATGACCAACCCGATGGTGGTGACCACCCAAATGACTCTGTTGACCACCCAATGATGGTGTTGACTACCTCAAGGGTGACGTTGACCACCCCAACAGTGGTGGTGACCACCTCAAGGGTGATGGTGACCACCCGACGGTGATGTTGACCACCCCAATGATGGTGTTGACCACCCAACGATGGTGTTGACCACCTCAAGGGTGATGATGACCACCTCAAGGGTGACGTTGACCACCCCAGCGATGGTGTTGACCATCCAACGATGGTGTTGACCACCCAACAGTGGTGTTGACCACCTCAAGGGTGATGTTGACCACCCAACAGTGGTGTTGACCACCTCAAGGGTGATGTTGACCACCCAACAGTGGTGTTGACCACCTCAAGGGTGATGTTGACCACCCAACAGTGGTGTTGACCACCTCAAGGGTGATGTTGACCACCCAACGATGGCGTTGACCACCCAACGATGGCGTTGACCACCTCAGTGTTGACCACCTCAGTGGTGCTGTTGACCACCTCAAGGGTGATGTTGACCACCTCAAGGGTGATGTTGACCACCCAACGGTGGCGTTGACCACCCAACGGTGGCGTTGACCACCTCAAGGGTGATGTTGACCACCCAACGGTGGCGTTGACCACCCAATGGTGGTGGTGACCACCTCAGTGGTGCCGTTGACCACCCAACGGTGGTGGTGACCACCCAACGCCGTCGCTACTGACCTCATCTCGCTGACTCTTCCAACCTTCTCCTTCTTCTCCAGAACCTCCGGATCCTTCCATCCCGGTCTCGCCCGTCTCGGCCGGTCGAGCGTCTCGAGGACTTCGGCGGTTGTCCCTCCTCCGTCTTCTCTGGGAGCAGGTCCTGCGGCACCCTCTCCTCCCGGCCCGTTTGGCCCTGTGTCCTCCGCCCGGTCCTGACCTTCCTCCGTGGTGGCAACGTGGTCACCACGATGGAGAACTTCTCCGGGGAGCTGCTCGTCATGGTTTGGCTCACCCCGAAAGCGCCATCTTGGGGGACCCCGACTTCTCCTTCGCGGTGGCCCGTTGGCGTTATCTCCGAGCTCAAGGCGAGCTCGGGGGAGGACCTCCGCCACCGCCTCAACCGCCTCAAGGTCTTCTGGGACGACCAACCCCACCGGCGCCGGTGGAGGACGAAGACTCCGAGTTGGAGAAGCTCTCGGCTTCCGTCTCCGATTCTTCCTCCTGCGACGAGGACAGCGATGAGGACAGGGGTGAGGGACAACCCCCGGATCCATCTTGGAGCTCCCCAACCCCTGGTGGGACTCCATCCCACCTCGGAGAACCTCCCCAGCCCCTGGTGGGACTCCATCCCACCTCAGAGGACCTCCCTGACCCCTGGTGGGACTCCATCCCTTCTCAGAGGACCTCCCCAGCCCCTGGTGGGACTCCATCCCAACTCGGAGAACCTCCCCAACCCCTGGTGGGACTCCATCCCACCTCGAAGGACCTCTCTGCCCCCTGGTGGGACTCTATCCCTTCTCAGAGGACCTACCCAACCCCTGGTGGGACTCCATCCCACCTCAGACGACCTCCCCAGCCCCTGGTGGGACTCCATCCCACCTCGGAGGACCTCTCTGACCCCCGGTGGGACTCCATCCCTTCTCAGAGGACCTCCCCGACCCCTGGTGGGACTCCATCCCACCTCGGAGGACCTCCCCAGCACCTGGTGGGACTCCATCCCCCTGACCCCTGGTGGGGCTCCATCCCACCTCGGAGAACCTCCTAATCATGGTGGGGCTCCATCCCACCTCGGAGGACCTCCCCAGCCCCTGGTGGGACTCCATCCCACCTCGAAGAACCTCCCTGCCCCCTGGTGGGACTCCATCCCTTCTCAGAGGACCTCCCCGACCCCTGGTGGGACCCCATCCCACCTCGAAGGACCTCCCCGACCCCCGGTGGGTCCCCATCCCACCTCGGAGAACCTCCTTCTCCTGGTGGGACCCCATCCCACCTCCCGGAACCCCCCTTAGATGCTGGTGGAACCCCATAACCACGTCCAACCTCCCTTTCCCCTTTTACCCTCCTCTTCCCTCTGTTTTGGGGACCTCCCCCGGGGTTTTGGGGACCCCCCCGAGTTTTGGGGACCCCCCCATCTTCTTGGGGACCCCCTCAGCTCCATCTTCAGGGGGGTGGGGGAGGACAAA